CATTTTCCTCAACATGCAACTACCAAATTTAAATTAAAATGTAAAACGTAAATTTTAGCAGCACATCTTTAGAAGTTTACTCTGCTTCAGTCTTAAACTGTTTTAAAAAATGACTAATAGTAATRAAGTGCAGTAAATTTCAGTTCAAACTTAAATGGAACAACTAAAACAAAATCTCAGAAGAACCAGAGTGAAAAATAAAAYGHTTTTACAACAAACTTCCTTCCATATTCTGCTTATGTCTTAGTTTGTTCTACAAGAAAGAAAAAAACAGCATTGAAGTTTCTGCAACAACTGCAGCATAGTGCTGTTTATGAAGGCTACTGCTAGCAGCAGCAAACCCTTTGAATTCTTTGTCATGTCTTGTCCTCAAATGTTGAATCAAATTGCTGGTGTTAAAACATCCAACTTTCGCTCCTCCTCTTGACAGTTAGCAGAGCACAGCAGACAGTCTGCTTGTTTGGTGTCCTCGTTTGGTGGCTGATCTGAAAATATCTCCAAACTGCCGATATGTTACTTCTTCTTCTTCTCATCGTTCTTCTTCTGTTATTCGGGGGTGCGGTCGGAAATAACTTGTCAGTGCGTTAGCGCCCCCGCCTGGTGTGGATTGTTGTTTACCCTTTGTGCTGCAGCGCAGCACAGGAGGAACAAAAAAGGGGACAAAAGCGGTATCGGTTAAGAGTATCGGCCGGCTTTTACGAGTATGAGTACGAGTACTTGATGCTGGTATCGGACATGATGTGCCCCAAGTAGAGGTGTCGGGACACCTCTACTTGGGGCACATCAAAAACTCACTGGATGGATTTTTTATTGTCTTTTCTAGTTAAGGAACTAAATTCTCCAGGAAGAGTTGGAGAGTGTTACATAGAGAAGGATGTCATTCTTCTCTTCTTGGCCTTTTTCTTCTGTGACCCAAGCTTGCAAAGATGGATGGATGTTAGAAGATCCTAAAAGATTTCTTTGGTAAGTCAAAACACCAGGATTTAACAATGTAGTGCAAGTTTCTTTTAACAAACTTATTACTGTATATTAATCTGGTTTTAACAGCTGTGAGTATCAACTTCATAACACTGTAAACTTATTTACTGTTTAACAGTGTTACTAATGGAAGAACATAAAAAGTGCAGGTAGTATATGTGAAACTGGGTTCTGTGCTTTCTGAACTTGATTTAGAGCAAAATCTGTGTGGTTATTCAACTGAAGTATTCTGCTTTTCATCATTTACTTTTAACTTCCAGTAGAAACTACAAAATTATGTTTGTAAGAGTTTGTACAAATTCTTTAAAAAAATGACTATTTCTTTGTGGATTGATTTGAGCCAAAACTCAAGGCCGGATTAACCATATGGGCAATTGCCCAGGGGCCCACGGTCTCTAAAGGGCACTGGGCAGTGAAGGCACGGACATAACGGATGCAGGATATGCGTGGGACATGTCTCCCCGAGTCCCCGCACTTCCTGCATCTGCGCTCTGTCCCCCACACTTTTCTCAGCCGTTACAGCTGTTTTATCCATTATTAACATGTGGTAATGTGTTTTCCTGAGCCGTCTTTGAACGCACCATAAGCGTGTGCATGCTAACGTCTGCAGATCACGGATTGAGGAGAAGTCCTGACCTGCCTACTGAGCAGAGCCTCCCGGTGTAAGAGCAACTAAAACTTTGCACAGTTTTTACCAAACAAACCATGTAAGTTGAGTCATACTGTTGGAGGCAGATAATGTTAGCTAAATGATGAGTTACACATTATAAAATGTTTAGCTAGTTATCATGATTAGTTGTTGTTACCTGTTACACCCCTTGCCAAGCTAAACCCAGTCGTCTTTCATTTCTGTGCAGAAGTTGTGCTGGCTGCTTTCCACATATTTAAAATAAATCTTCATTGCCACAGTTACAAAGAACAAGGTCAGGGATGAGACAGACCAGATAGCCTACAGCAGCAGGGATCATAATGCAGACTTTCCTCAGGGAAGGAGAAATTATGACTATTATTCTTGAAGTGGAACAGTCTTTAAAAACTGGTGTATAGTTTKAAGTCTCTACTTTTGACATAATTTGTAACAGAGTCTCAGAAAATTAACCCCACACACAAAGATGGAGGTTAAATCACATGACTGGATCACATCCTGTTGACTTGGAGAATTGAAGGGAGAAACCAGACAGGTATCAGGACAGGGTTTTCACAGACATTTCAGAAGTACTCTTCATACTCCAAAATATTTTTATTTTATTATTGTTTCTACTTTGGCCCAAAATAAATCTAGAATTTATAATATTATTTTGTTATTTACTGGTAGTTAACAAAGAGATGATTGATAGTCATAGTTCAAAAGCAAAAACTGACATGGATGTAAAAAGATGTATTCATTTTTATTTATTACATAGATGTATGACGTTTTTTGTTTATTATTTATTTTTCATATATTACTTGACTACTGCATTATTTGTGTTCTTAATGTGACAGCAGGTGTGGGTCATACAATTTTTCTTTATTTTGCTTAGTTTTGCACGTTTGCAATCACATTTACTAAAATGTTGATGTGTTTAGTGTTTTGTCACTGTCTGTGTTCTTTGTCTTATGAGCCTACATTGAGCCAAGTAATAATTTGCTTACATGGAGGTATATATAACAGTTGGGGTGTTCAGAAATCAGGTGACCGTGTGATTGGCTGTAGAAGCTAAAGGCTAGCACAAAATGGGCAAGACTCTGGATTTCCCATTACTGTACATGTTGACAACAGAGCAGAAAAAAAGGACTGACGATGTAGAAATCATAAAAAAAACTATTAA